ATTCAATGTTTCACAGTTTCACTAAATTTGAAGTATTAAGACATTGCAAATCAAAAAGGTTTCTTCGCTTCGATGTGTCATAGTTTCACAAAATTTGAAGTATCAAGGCATACAAATTTCCAAGGTATGTTTGAGGGCATTCAACAATGTTATTCTTCAGTAGTGCATTCACGCAAAGCTCTAAGCAAAAGTAAAATTCCCTTGAGGAGAGATGCAGTATGAATCTAAAAAGAATTGTTACAGGGAAACTTCTATGCCAGCTCATTAGCTGGTAAAGCCTTCACAATCTCTTGATTGTTTTATACCCTCATGTGTAATTGTGGAAACTTCCAGGCTCGACATGAAAATTCTTAGTCGGCTTTATCGTCACAGGGCTCCAATAACCATTTTGCTCTCCAAATGATTGAAGGAGATAAAAGGCGTTCTGTTTTCCATCCTGATGACTGAAGCTGCCATAGTAAAACACAAGAGGTGTGGAGTGTGAGTTGAAAGAGCAAGTGTATGTAGTTATTTGGGGTTTATAACTTATTTTAAGCTCCAAATAAACTACCCCAGCCCTGTTTTGTAATAATGATGTAAATTAACCTTCAATGATATTACTAATAATGATGTAAATTAACCTTCAATTTTATCTAAAAATGAAGTGAAAATATACTTACTCCATTGAGTGACGTACGTAGTGAGAGAGTTTGGGTCGCTAATGATAAAATCAGTAAATTATTCACCATGGTAGTAAATTGCAAACTAAGGGAGTGTTTGTGATTTCTTCTACTTTAAAAAAATGTTTTTTTTAAAGTGATTTTGGAAGAAGTTCTTAATAGTAAAAGTTGGTAGTGTTTGAGAAAAAAGTGATTCTGAAAAAGTAAAAGTTGGTAGTGTTTGATAAAATAAGTGTTTTTGTGTAATAAAAAAAGTGAAAAACAGTTTAAAGTACCCCTCAACATTCTTCCAACTTTTAGCTTTTAAGTGATTAATTTAACCAGAAGCTATCACTTAAAAACATCAATTTCAGCTTTTTTAAAGTCAAAAGCTGAAAAAAGTGTTTTTTTAAATTTGTTGCAAACACTAGGGGTGGGCAAAAATACCGAACATGCATGGTACCGAACCGAACCGGTATGGTACCGGACTGAAAAACGGGGTTTGAAACGGATCTCAATTTTTTGTCCCGAACCGGAGTACCGGACCGTACCGGTTCTAAACTATGTCATGACCGTTTAACGTTGTCATAAAATGAGAACCGGTGCCGGACCGAACCGGACCGATGTACGGTTTAATTATTAAATGTACATTTATACCATTACTTTGACTAATGCCTTCACACTTTCCTCGCCTTTGCTAGTTCATATAAAGCCCGGAAGCAGACTGATGTATAGTTTAATTATTTAAATTTGTACTACTATAATTTATCTAAATTTTATTAATTATGTAATACTACCTCCGTCCCGAATTGATTTGTAAAATTAACTTTTCTTGGGCAAACAGTTTAATTTTATTCACTTAATTAGGATGTCAACTTTTAATTATATTTAATTTGGAATTTGCAACTTTGAAAAGATTTTAATGTAGTTTCTGAATATGTACATTTTAATTGTTAAAAATTGAATTAATCATCAATAAAGAGAATTTAACTTTAACATTGGTTGACCAAAAAATATTGACTTTGCATATCAATTTGGGACGTAGGGAGCATGAGAATTGATAAATTGTGTGAATTTTTGGAGGATAGCTAAACTTTAATTTTTTTTAAACATTTGAAAAAAGTGGTATTGTTTGGTATTGATATGACATGGTACCGTCCCGTTTGAAAATGAAATCGTACCGAACGGGTTTAGGTCTAAGACCGAACCGAACCGTTTGAATAGTCACGGTACGGGTTCGGCCAAATATTGGACCGGATCGGACCGCACCCACCCCTACCAAACACCCCCTAACTAGGTAGTAGGTATCACAAATTTAACAGATACTCCGTAGTACATACTAGGGCTCTACGAGTGACTAGTAATATGTTTTCTCATCCTCTTTTCAATATAAAGAATGAAATATGTCGACTATTACTCCCTCCGTCCCGCAAAGATGTTCCCGATTTCTTTTTTTAGCAGTCCCAAAAAGAAGTTCCCCTTTCCCTAAATGAAAAATTATCCTACATCAAAACAGTGCCAAATAGTCCCAAACAATGTCGAAACAGTGTCAAAACAGTAAAATTTACCCCATTGTAAGTTTATTTCCTTAACATGTGGGTAGATCAAATCGGGAACATCTTTGCGGGACAGAGGGAGTACTAATCACTACGGAGTACTTTTATGTAATGATGATTGAGCCAAAATCTATTTGCATATTTCTATGAAATACAAAAATGGTTAAAGGGTCAAAGAGGCCCATGTACCAATCACTCCCCGAACTGACAAAAAAGAGTTCAAAATTCATTTTTTAAGGTTAAATAACCGGTAAAAAAGGTACAATTCGCACCCCCAAACTATTAAAAAGTGTCAAAATTACAATAAATCGAAATAAAAAACAAAAACAATTAAAAATTTAAAAAATGACCGGTTATTTACCCGTAAAAAAATGAAATTTGAACCATTTTTTGTTGGATCGGGGTGTGAATTGAACCTTTTTTAGATTAAGGACTGAATTGAGCTTACACGATTAGGGCACAACACGGGTCGGGTTCGGGCGGGACGGGTTCAAAAAAGGTAAACCCTTTCGGGTATCGGATTGATAATTTCAAACCCTACCCTATCAAAAATTTATCGGGTTTTTCGGGTTGAAGTAGTTCGGGTTTCGGTCGGGTTGGTTCGGTTTTCGGGTCCATTCGTATTTTAATTTATTATTGTTGAAATTCTTTTAAATAAAATGGTAATTGGTAAAAATATCATTCAAAGTTATACTAGTATAACATTCAAAGTAATAGTTGTATCAATAAGGTAATCGACATATTTGAACATGTAAAATACTTCCTCCGTTCTTTTTTAAATGCAACACTTGCCTTTTTTGGCAGTTTCAAATTAAATGCAACATATCCAATTTTAGTAAGAAAAATAAGTGTAAGGTCTTTAATACCCTTGCATAATATGAACCCACTTTTTCTACATTTCTACTTTTTCTATCTCCTACCAATCACTCCGCCCACCTCCCTTTCTCTCTCCTCTATAGACCTAACTTTCTTTTCCGTCTACACCTCCAGACATCTTTTTCAATCGACACCCTCTCTCTGCAATCTACCCACATCATTCCTCTTCTTTTATCTCCCCTCCTCAATTTCATGTTTTGTTTATTTTTCATCTGTAAACTTTTCCCACAAGTGGAGATTTAGTCAAGTTGAAGAAGTTCATCTGATTTTTCCCACTATCTTTTTGGGCAGTTTATTTTGCAAAAAATTGTGAGCAGGCAGTCATGGCAAAAAAAGAATATCCTACGATGTTTTAGTAGAAGTTTTCCGATGATCGGAATCAATGAAGCCTTACGGAGAAGTCCGCTTCAGATTTGATTTCTCTCTTGATTTTTCTTATTCCATCACAATGGAGAACCCATCTACTGCTCCCAATGGTGACCACTAATTGCTACGCAGGACTGGTCTAGAAATGTACGGACTACGGAGTACTAGTATAAAAAATCATTTACACCCAAAGCACCTTGATTTGTCTCTCTAGAACTTTTACTGTAGTAAAAGAGCAAACGGTGGCTGACACATAGCTTATTACTGTATCATCTCGAGTACTTAAGAGGGTAAAACTGGAAAAAAGGAACCCAAAGTCTAAATTCTTAATTTCTGTGCCTGGATCCATGTTGCATTTATATCCGAACGGAGGAAGTAATAATATACGGTGATTATCATATTTGATATTGTGATAAATAAAATGATAATTGGTCAAAATATCATTCAAAATCATAACAATACAACATTCAAAGTTATAGTTTTACAAATACGGCAATTGGAATATTTGAATATGCATAATATGGTAATTGACATACAATAATTGAGATATTTGAACATGCATAATAATTCAAAGTAGTATATATACTACCCTAGTTCGGGTTTTCGGGCGGGTCAGGTAGCATAATTGGTAACCCTACCCGCTACCCGCTTAACTCTCGGGTTGCAAAAATCGGATCGGGTTTGGGTCACTCGGGTCGGGTTATCCGACCCAAAAAATAAAATCAGATATATCTGATCGGGTCAATTGGGTAGGGTCGGGTTTGCTCTCCCCTAGGCATGGCCTCGGTTCGAGCCGCCCGGCCCGGAACCGGCCCGACCCGCTACTGTGCGGGCCCGGCCCGGCCCGGTTTTCCGGGTCCGGGTCCGGTTCGGGCCGGAGGCCCGGGGGTGGGGCGGTTCCGGGCTCGGTTCATGGTTTTGACGGCCCGGCCCGGCCGGTTCGGGCCCAGGCCCGAGCCAAATCTATTTTTTTTTTAATTTTTTTCATTTTTTTTGGGCTGTTGGGCTTGGGCTAGCTGTTTAGGCCGGTTTGGGGGGGTTTGGGGGGGTGGGGGGGTGGGGGGGGAAGAAAGGGTAAAAAAAAAAAAAAACCGGGTGGCCCGACCGGCCCGGCCCGATCCGGCCCGGAACCGGACCCGGGACCGCCCTACCCCGGTTCGGGCTCGGGCCTGCTATTACTGAACCGAGGCCCGAACCGGCCCGGTTCAGTCCACCCCTGCTCTCCCCTATACACGATCAGTACACTTATTCGACCCTTTAGCCTACAAAAAATGTTCACTCAAAAGTCAAAACTGTCATTTTTATCGTTGTTGGTCTAAATCCTCAATATAGTATTAGATCCAAATTCATGATTTGATTGAATTGTGATTTGATTGCTTTTGCACACCTACCATTTATGATAACCTGTTTAGAGTTTCTCTACCATACATGGATCTAAGCCTCTAGTGTCATATTATGAATATAGAATTCCACTCTAAAAGATCGACATAAAAGAATTAGTAGATTAGTACCACATATGTATATTTACGCATTATTTGGTATGAAAGAAAAATGAAAAATTAATTGAAAAAGTGCGCATAAAGATATTATGAATATTTTAAAATTGACTGAATTCAATCTAAAGAATAAGATTAGACGAGACTTGTACTTACAAAATTAGATTTCAATAATAGTAAAATAACATATACGTAGTAATATACATTTAGCGGATCAGACCACTTCAGATCAAACCAAACTTAAACAGACCAGACCGGATCAGACTTAAATAGTCTGATATCACTCAAGAAGGGGTGCACAATCAATTCCCCCTGTAAATTTTTAACAAAAGCAACTTCCAAACTAAAGAAGCTGGTAGCGAAGTGTGAAGAAGGGTCGAGTACTCAGCTTTGGCGTTCTTGACCGGAAAGCCTTCTTTCCGTGAAGGCCAACTCTGAGACCAAAGCAATATGATCACTTCCCCATTTCTGAAATGACATGGCAAATCAAGAAATTACTATGGTATCAGTTTCACTAGAGAAGCAGTTGCAACTTGCAAGTAACTTTCACATCTCAATCACAGAAGCAATAGAGTTGAGGATAGTGTTTGTTTCTTACAGCTGCTTTGTTAATGATATAGATACAGTTTTTAATGCATTTTTAGGTGTAACGGGGATTAGGCAGTTCCATTTGGCTTACCATTACTCCCTCGGTTAGCCAAATAGAAACCTTTTTTTTTATCTATTTATGCAATCACGCAAAAGGTGAAAGTGACACATACACAGTATTGAATATAGGGAAAAGGTTCAAATAGACCCTTCTACTAAAAAACATCATATAAGTACGTTTACTTTTTAAACACAATCATTCAAGTCATTTTGAACTGCTATAGCAGGTTATTTTTAAAAAATAAATATTAGGACTATTGCTAAATTTTATAAAAGTTCATATAAATTTGAAAAATAATACTATGGGGTATAATAATAATAATATAAAAATTGCATAAATGTAAATTTAGGTAAATAATTTAAGAACGTTAAAATAAAAATTCAGAAAAACTGATGAAATAAAGTGAAAATGTAAAAAATTAAAATATTAAATGTAAAAACCTATTAAACAAATGAAACGTTAAAATAAAAATAAAAATCATAAAACTGATGAAATAAAGTGAAAGTGTAAAAAAATAAAATATTAAATGTAAAACCCTCTTAAATAGATGTGGAGTATGCAAATAATTTCAAAAATTAAAAAATATCGACTTTGACGCCCTAAAATTTCTCACAATTTTTACCTATATTTCTTCAAAGTTTAACAATGTTTAAGAATTTTTTGACATAAAAAACTTGCTATTACAGGTCAAAAACTATATAAATGGCCAAATTGGTCAAGTTTTCAAAGTAGGCGTACTTATATGACACATAGTACTTTTTTTAGTATAAGAACTTAAGTGATGTTTTGGAAATAGTACAATGGCTTATTTGACCTTTTTCCTTGAATATAGAATGTGAGGGTCTTGATTGTGATGGCCTGAAAATATTTGTACAAGAGCGAATGATCCACCTACTAGACAAGTTGTGAGGTGGGGAGAAGAGATAAAGAGGAGAAGGAGAGGAAGACACAATTGATGTGAACTAAAGTGAACCCTTAATTGGATTGGATGAGAATATAACTTTGAAAAGGGCAAATTGGAGAGATAATATACTTGGAAGATTGATTTCATTTTACTTTTTTAGCTCCGCTATCACATGTCTAATCGACCCCAATCTCTTTTGGGACTCACGCTTTGATCTTGTTGTTGAATGCAAGATGAAAGTCACAAACATGTAGCACATGGTAAATTTAATGAGCCAATATACAATTTTAAAAATACAAATATGATTGATATAAAAAAGGTAGAATTACTTATTTATAATTTTACAGAAATTACACATTACCAAAACTAAAAGTTGTATTGTGCTCAAACACAACGCTTATGGGACGGAACTAGTACAATTATTACTCCTCCATCTAAGTACATTACCGTGTATGGTTCATTTGCCTTGATTTCACCTTGACAAACCCAAAAAATTACCTCAGTTCCACCTTAAATCCTTAATCCTTATATAATACTCGGTAGTATACACTACTATGGATTTACAGGCGGCCCTATATATTTGAAGGTCAAGATGGGAAAAATGGGCCTACTTTAAAAAAAATGTAAAACCCTTTTCTATCTAAATTAACATGCAAAACAATAATATTTGAAGATCTTTATAAAAAAAACCCTTTACCAAACTTCAAACATGACAGTATTTTCCAAATTTGGCAGTAATTACTTCTATTTTGGGAATAAAAAACATGACAGTCCTATTTTGAAATTTTCAAACTGTTTTAGTCCTATTTTGGGAACTTTCCCTTAAGAAAATACTTGAATTTGTTAAATTAAACATCGTCGAATCACGTTTTCAAATAACCAAATAAAAAATTACTTAAATACATTCCTTGCTGAACATTGTGAACCAAAGCCATTAACTATAGCTTCATAATCAAGCTTCTCCAACATATTATGCTCAATGTTTAATACAGCTAATTCATTAAGCTTTTTAGAGACATTGTTGATCGCAGATGATTTTTGAGAATCTTCAACTTTGAAAAACTTCTTTCCGCAGTGGTCACATTTATTGGTACTGTCAATAATGTCTTACATGTATTTGTTGCGTTCGGATAGCAGCCCATAATCTTCACAAACTCAAGAATTTGAATGGAAGTGTCTTTGTCATTCGGTTAAACATTTGTAACATTTTCAATTCATGAAAGAGATCATCCCTGTCAACATTTTCTTTCTCACCATCTTGTAAAGCATCTGCAAATATCTCACAACATTTTTTCAATTTATCATGAAACAACGATTTCAAGTTCCTTGAATTGAACTAAACAAAAAGTCAAGTATACGCTGAAAGTCTTTCATATGATCAAATCTAATTTGCAATGACTTCAAAGCGGCATTCATCACAACATTGAAAGAATAACACTTAAAAGAATCTTCTGGAGACTTATCTTCATCATCTTCTTCATCAAAGTACTTTTTTCTACGGGTCAATCGTTTTTTAGAAAAACCAGGTTCAAATCCCATTTCAAGAGCAATGTCTTTTGTGGTGATAATTCAAGACCATCTTCAAACTCTTCTTCTCTATACTTATTTAAATGAATAATCAAATCATTCATATTCATCACACAAGTATCAATATATCTTCACTTTGTAACAATTTACTAGCCTGTTTAAATAATCAAATCATTAATATTCATAACACAATTATCAATAAACATATCTTCACTTTGTAATAATTTACTGAACTATTGGTTGCAAAGCTTCATACCATATTGTCATGCCCAATAAGAACTCAAATTTCTCCAACTGTTTGAGCACTCTTTTAACATCACTTGTTGACGAATAATCAGGACAATCTTTTCTCAATTTAATTTAATTAAAGCTTCTATTACTTGGGGAGTTTGGGTTACAATTTCTTTCACACTTTCTAGACGGCATTCCCAACGTTTGGTGGACAATGATTTCAAATTAAAACCATGTACACATTCTTTCAAAATTGTTCATCTTTTTGTCGAACCAGAACAATGTATACAACTTTTGAACATATCCAAAAAATGTAATAGCTTTATAATAAGAATTTATCATATCTGAAATGGTTAAATTAAAACTATAACAAACACACGGCATGTAAAAAGCTTTTCGATTAATGTCAAGTAATCTTATTTGTACACCTTGATGCTTACCTTTCATGTTGGAGCCATTATCATACTCTTGTCCATGTATGTCATCAATGTCAAGCTCGCATAAAGCCAAAATACTCTCTAATTCAACAAAGAGCCCTAACCCAGATGTGTCAAGCACTTCGATAAATTCTAAGAAAAATTCAAAAGCTTGAGATTTTTTTGATGACATATACACACACATTTGCTCTTTATGACATATGGAAATCGAGCATGCAATCAAGAATGATTGAAAAATACTTAGCAGTCTTGATATGTGCAACAATTGCACTTTTAACACCGGAAGCTAACTTCAAAATCAATTCATTCTTAATTTTGTGACTAAAATAATGAATCTGTTTAGATTAAATACGTCTCACATGCTCTTGCATAACCAGATAAAACTCAGCAACCATCTCGATGATATCTAAATAAATTCCATTGTTATATGTGTTTTTCATATTTTCCACGAAAGGCAAATAAATTTTTGCAAGAGTTTTAACTAAATATTGGAAGTCAATCTCATCTCCATATCAATTCAATTTTGCATATTACCAAAACGTTGGAAGCTTTTTTCATGACTACAAAGCTTCTCACTCAAATGTTTTCCATTGTTGAATTTTTCATTCGCTAAAAGATTCGGCTACACTTTTGTTTTGAACAACTTGCTACAAAAACAACACTTTATTCACCTTTTTTAGTACACCAATCATGGTCTATCTTCACTTTCCTTATGTTTCATCTTTCTAGTGTAGTAGGCATTTAAGAAATGTCTAGACTTAGCATCAAGAGAATAATTGAGCTCTTATAGGGCTTTTTTCAATTACAATACCTCTTGTTTTGAACATCTAGAGCCCGTTTGGTAGCACGAAAATCGGCTGTTTTGGCTGATTCTGTTGAAATTTATGAAGTTCTGGCTGAAGTGGCTGCATTGGCTGATTCTACTGATTTAAGAAAAAAATATTTTATAAATATATTTTATTAATAAAATAAAGAAAAATTATATGTAAAAATAGCTAAAATAGTCATCAACAGTAACTTCAGCCAATACAGTTAGAAAAGTAACTCCAACATCACTTTTTCTGCTTATTACACAATTCAGCGCGCGAAAGCAAAAATTGCGTGTTTGGTGAAAAAACTGGCTGATAAGCCTGATAAGCCAAAAAACTGGGTTGCCAAACGGGCTCCTAGATTCTCCCAATCAGTAGGATCTAAAATATTTAAATTCAAAGGACATGTAATTGAAGTTGATATATTTGACGAACTCCTAAACGTTCAATTGCATGTCCTTAGAATTTAAATATTTATGATCCGATTTATTGGCAGAATCTGGATGTTTAAAACAAGAGATATTGTAATTGAAAAGGTCCTATAAGAGAAACACAACTCAATTATTCTCTTGATACTAAGTCTAGACATTTCTCAAATGTCTACTACATTAGAAAGATGGAGAATAAGGAAAGTGAAGATAGACCGTGGTGGGTGTACTAAAAAAAGTGAATAACGTGTTTAGTTTTTGTTGCAAGTTGTTCAAAACAAAAGAGGAGTCTAATCTTGTAGCGAATAAAGAACTCAATAATTGGAAACATTTGAGTGACAAACTTTCTAGTCATGAAAAAAAATCAACATTTTGGTAATGTGCAAAATGTATTGATATGAAGATGAGGATGACAAAGGAAACAAATATTGATTTTGCCACTCGGAAGAGACTTGCCAAAGAGAAGAAGCATTGGAGAGATGTTCTTAAGAGAATAATTGCTTTAGTTAAATTCTTGCAAAAAAATCCCACTGCATTTTGTGGAAAATCTGAAAAAAATATGAAGACAACAATGTAAAATTTTTAACTATCATTGAGATGTTTGTTGACTTTAATCCAGTTATGCAAGAGCATGTGAGACGTATTCAATCTAAAAAGATTCATCATCATTATCTTAGTCACAAAATTCAGAATGAATTGATTTTGAAGTTAGCTTACGGTGTTAAAAGTGCAATTATTGCACAGATCAAAGCTGCTAAGTATTTTTTAATCATTCTTGGTTGCACACCTAATTTTAGTCACAAAGTGCAAATGACTTTAGGTGTGTGGATATGTCATCAACAAACTTCAAGTTATTGAATTTTTCTTAAAATTTATCCAAGTGCTTGATACATATGAGTTACCTTTGCTGAATTAGAGGGTATTTTGGCTTTATGCGAACTTGACATTGATGACGTACGTGGACAAGGGCATGATAATGACTCCAACATGAAGGTAAGCATCAAGGTGTACAAATAAAATTACTTGACATTAATTGAAAACCTTTTTATACGCCGCGTGTTTGTCATAGTCTTAATTCAACCATTTCAGATATGATAAATTCTTGTTATAAAGCTATTACATTTTTTGGATATGTTCAACAATTGTATACATTGTTTTTGGTTCAATAAAAAGATGGACAATTTTGAAAGAATGTGTACATGGTCTACTTTGAAATCATTGTCCACCACACGTTGGGAATGCCATCTAGAAAGTGTGAAAGTAATTGTAACTCAAACTCCCCAAATAAGAGAAGTTTTGATTAAATTGAGAAAAGATTATCCTGATTATTCTGATTATTCATCAAGAATGATGTTAAAAGTGTGCTCAAACGGGAGAAATTTGAGTTCTTATTGGGCATGACAATATGGTATGAAGTTTTGCACCTGATTGATCAGGTCAGTAAATTATTACAAAGTGAAGATATGCCCATTGATACTTGTGTTACGAATATTATTGATACATTTAACCAGGTCAGTAAATTGTTACATATGTGCATCGATACTTGTGTGATGAATATGAATGATTTGATTATTCATGTAAAAAAGTACAGAGAATAAGGGTTTGGATGCTCTGAACAGCACAAAAGGCATTGCTCTTGAAATGGGATTGAAACGTGGTTTTCTAAAACGATACGTGTAGAAAAGGTACTTTGATGAAGACAATGAAAAATATGATGAAGATACGTCTCCAGAAGATTTTTTAAGTGTTTTTATTTCAATTTTGTGATGGATGCCATTTTGATGTCTTTTCAAACTAGTTTCTATCATACGAAATGCTTTCAGTGTATATTTATCTTTCTGTTTAGTTCAAGGAACTTGAAATCGTTGGTTCATGATAAATTGAATGAATGATGTGAGATACTTACAGGTGTTTTACAAGATGATGACAAAGAAGATGTTGATATGGATGATCTCTTTCAAGAATTGAAAATGTTGCAAAATGATTTACCGGATGATAAAAACACTGTCATTCAAATTCTTGATTTTGTGAAGATTATGGGCTGCTATCCAAACACAGCAATTACAGGATACTATTGTCACTATTGTCAGTGTCAGTAATTGTGGCCATTGCGGAAAAAAGTTTTTCAATGTTGAAGATTCTAAAAAATTATTTGTGATCAACAATGTCTCAAAAAAAGCATAATGGATTGGCTATATTAAACATTGAGCATAATGTGTTAGAGAAGCTTGATTATGAAGTTGTAGTTGATGACTTTGCTTCATAATGTTCAACACGACATGTATTTAAGTAATTTTTTATTTGGTTATTCTGAAAACGTGGTTCGACTGTGTTTAGTTTAACGAATTCAAGTATTTTCTTAATTATAAAGATCTTCAAATATTATTATTTTGCATTTTTGTTTAGAGAGAATCAGGGTTTACGGATTTTTTTAAAAGTAGAACCATTTTAAAATTTTCGCTCCTAGGCCTTGAAATAGGCCGCCCCCGCCGCCCATAACTTAGTTCACGCTTCTGAGATAGAGCTCCTATGTATATGACTCTTGCGACAAGTACGAAACTCAAAGTTAAAGATGATGAAATTTTGGATTTGATCCCTTCGCAAATTAGGGCTGTGGCAATAGGTTGCCTAATCTGGGCTGGTATGTACGGAGTATTATTTTTGGGAAGTGTGTAATGGGTTTACTTGATCAATTTAACAGTACAAGGATTAAAATCAACACTTTGAAATAATACTCCCGACTATTTAGGTAAAACAAATTTATGACAATAACTGAACCACTTTCATACTTTATAGACTCATACAACCTCCATCTCGGCTTAAGGTTCCTATTAAAAAATGACACGTTTTTTAGACAATAATTAAATGATGCAATTTGAGAAGTAGTTTGGGAGATAAATAGTAATAACAGAATGATTGATAATAACTGTAATATTATGGAAATCCTCCCGCTGCTATAGTGCTATTGTAGGGGCTTAACCATTTTTTATGGGAAGCATTGGGCGCCCCTTCTTCTCCAACACTAGATGCGCTTGATCTAGCCTCCCTTAGAACTAGATCCCTAACTTTTAGATAATGAGAGGGGCTCGCTTGACATAGTGTCGAGCATTGTTCGTTGTGCTAGTTACGCTAATACCTCTAAGAAATATGTTTATCCACCGTTAGTCATTAATGTTGGTTGGCTTGGATTACTACCTCTTACAATATCATAATCACATAATCACAGAATCAAGCATATGGCTCCACAAATTCCTTTTCGACTAGGATCGAGGGTTCATATGCCGTATGGCATATGAAGTTATGAACTACAGGGTTTATTGGCTGGAACTGTCAGCATTGGTACTGGAAAAAATAAAAAACCTTCTTAAGTGTTTTTTTAATATGTAATGATTAAGTTGTCACTTAAGAGCGTTAATTAATTCCTTAAATAGAACTGTGAGCTTTTAAATGGAACACCCAAAAGAGGCAAGAGAGAACTTTTACCTAGGATGGAGGGAGGAATTGCTTCCCATGCCCAGAATAACATTCATAAAGTCCAGATGTACAGAAAGCATTCAGTGAAGGTTACGAATCATACCTTTGTGGGGAAACCCCGATAAAACTGCATGGCTTGTGTTGGAATTGGAGCAAGCACCCTCACAGTTTGAAGACCTTCAGAACGCCTACATATCAAGCATAATTTGTAAAAATTATTAACTTAATCAATGATATCAATAAATACAACACAGGATTAATGTCAGAAAAAGGTTCACCCTATGTCTCATAAAAAATGTGCTCCTGCACAGGGACGTCCAGCAAAGAATGTCTAGTTCAACAAATGCAACCATGTTTGTTGTTTTAATACAAAACTATAAAATATTGACACCTCTATTACTTTCATTTGAGATGGATAAAACTGGAATTGCATCACTTAGTCATGACTCGATGCATTAAACGTGTTAGTCAAATGGCCCATATTTTCTGAGACATGGGAAGTTTAATCCAAGGTTTAGTTGGAGGATTTTGAAGGGATGGGGATGAAAGTAGAGTGATAAGTGTTTGAATGGGAATTAAGGGAAAGGGGAGCGAAGTGGATGAGCTAAATAATTCTACAACTCCCTCATATCACACTCCACTAGGAGGGATTTTGCAGAAATTATTTTTTCTTGATTTTTTCGCCTTTTTTTATTTTAAATTCAAATTGTTCTACATTAGCATTTTGTATGTATTGTATAATACATATTTTCAAATATAACAAAATATGTATAGTATAGATTATTTAAATAGTTTTCCAAAATACTAAATTCCTACTCAGCCCTCACTCCATTGAGCCAAATATCAATAAAACTTACATTTTCCACCCCTCCCCTCTTTTGAACCAAACACGAGCTTAAGGTTCACAAGGACATGTATGTGTGGGTGAATGGCAAGAGAAGGAGAGGGTGGGATCTAAAGTTTAACAATTATTTTTAAACTGGATATAGTTGACACACATTACTTGTGTTGCAATACAATTAGATCACCAAAAATTATGCACATCAACTAGCCAACAGCCAGATCAGTAATGAGGTAAACCCTAAAGACTTACCATATGTAATCAACTGTGCCCAGGAATGCATTGTGGTAACTGGTCGCCTCTGGTTCTCCAATTGAATCTCTTTTTCCCACAACATTCTGGAATATGAAAGGAATTTTGGAATAGATCAATACTCAACAATCTTGCTGGGTAACCTCGCGAGGTTAGACACACACACAAAATACCACCTCTGTTCCATAAATTCTTCCAATTATCTTTTTCGGGTTGTCCCAAAAATTTCTAAATAAACCTCAATTACAAATTTCATTTACTAAATGAATGTGCCAAGTCAAAGCAAGAAGAAAAATATGGGACAAAAGGAATGTATCTGAAGCTACAATTTTAATCAAGGGCTACCTCTACTTCCCGATACACACTTGTCAGCCTCAGATGGTGTTCCATTACTGTGCAGTCCATGCTTCCCGTTGCAGTTTGTATCTCTATTGGAGTCCAAGCTGTTGGGTCATAATAAGTGCCCCGAAAATCTGCACCGCGGACACCAGGTAACTCTTTGCTGTGAGAAACAGAAGATAGCCCAGACCGTTCATCTGGTTCTCCGCGCTCAGATACTGAAAGTGGAGTCCGATCAGATGCACCACATAGCTCAGATAAAAACGTCGCAGAGTCTTCACCTGAAGACTGATCTTCTACCCCTTCAAATACCATTTCCAGTGATAAATTATCCATTTTCTTATCTAAAGGGGCATCAGCCAATTTAAAGTTACCTTCTTCTAGAGTTGATGGTATTGAACCTTCACTATCATAGATATGAGGGCTATCTGCATTGAGACGAATAGTAGATGTTCTTTGGGAATCTGTGAAATATTCTACTGTTCTTTCCATAGCTTTATCTTCAAAGTGAGCACCCACAAAAGTTTTGCTGGAGCCATTCACTACAGAATTTTGAGTTTGGGACCCGCAGCCTCTTGAAAGTCCATCTCCTGATGCAACTATTGGGGACAATGTGCTTAAAACTAGATTGGAACATGCCTCTCTTTCTTCTCCCTCATGTGAGACTGATGCATCTTTAACAGAGTCTGTAGAAGAATTGGGCCTAGATAATCAAAGCAGCACTTTAGTACTTCATATTGTTAATTGTAAAACACGTGTAGAGAACCATTGGATGAGTAGGGTTCAATATGACAGATGAGTGTCTGAAAATTATGGCATTAGGATGTACTACGTATCATCTGATGCCAAACTATATATAATATATACGGACATTCACATAGGTTCACATGAGAACGGTACTTCCTGTGCGAATTTGCGAAGATTGGTTCATCTTATTACATATTTATGTTTTGAGTAGTTGACATTACATGGCGGCATTATTTTTTTTTATATTAGCAAATTTGTCACCATGTTTTCATGTGGTTCTATGTAGGGGAAAAATTTAAGGGCCTGTTTACTAACAGGGATATTTTCAGGTTTCTACTTCTGTTTTCCACTCCAATTTTCTGTTTTCATTTTCAAGTTTTTCTATCTCCAGTTATCTATTTTCATTTTTTAGTTTTCCATTCTCAAATCTGAAAACATGTTCATCAAATTTTTCACCCGGTTCTGTGATTGTCCAGAAGACCGAAAGTGCGGTCTCATTCTGAAATCAAACCTAGTACAACCCAAGTAAGGTACCAGGTCCTACGTATAGGAAAGTCGGGACCAAAACCAGCCAGTATCGTTCGATCTCAACAGTTAGTTTGGCGAATTCTTTTCTCATTTCCCTATTGGTTGACAACTCAACTCTCTTTTAAAACTCTTCACTTTAAAAAATGAATTTTGAAAAAACCGAGACTGAACCGTCGGGTCATAATGGCCCGGACTGGGACTGCCTGGTCATGGATCGGACTAGACAAGGATTGTCGGGTCATCGATGAGACCGGACAGGGACCCATGCGTCATCGATTGGATCGGACAGGAACCGTCGGGTCGTGGACCGGACCGGAAAGGGGCCGCGAGGTCATGGACCGGACTTGATGGGGGATCGCTGGGTCGTGGACCGGACAGGGACCACTGGATCGTCGACCGGACCGGACAAGGATTGCTCGGTCGTCGACCGGAACCGGACAAGGATTCCTCGGTCGTCGACCGAACCGGATAGGGACTACCGGGTCAATGACCGGACCGGACCGTCAGGTCGTTGACCAGACCAGGTAGGAACCGCAGGGTTGTTAACCTAAACGGACGGGGACCGCCGAGACGTTGACCTAACCGGACAGGTACCGTCGGATCAATGACCGAATCGGACCGCCGGGTCAATGACTGAACCGGACTGCCGAGTCGTTGACCGGACCAAATAGGGACCGTAGGGTAGTTGACTGGAATGGAACCTACACCGGAGCGGGACCGGAATGGAACCGACATCGGAGCGGGACCAGATCCACCACTAGGCGTAAATATGTAAACTCATTGCAACGACATTGTAACATCTGCGTTTTCCAAATTTGGAAAACTAGTAAAAGTCATTTCTCCTTTTCCGTCATTTTTAATGGAGCCAAAGACTCACTATTTTTTGGCTTGGGAATATGATGGAACAAAGCAAAATGGCTCACTAAATTGTCTGCGCTCCTTTATCATGAAGCAGTAGTCAATGCATGCAATTTTCGACTCGAATTTCACTATGGGTCATCTGGAAACAGTCTATCGGTGCTTTAGTACTGGGGTAAGACTGCGTACATCCGACCCCCCTTACCCCATCGTAGATGGGAGCCTTTGCGGCACTAGGGTAATGATGATGATGAGTAAAAGTCACTTCTCCAATTAATTAAGGAAAAGAGAGACATGTCTCATTTTTTTCGTTTTGGGAAACGATTTGGTAAACGCATTTTTCTGTTTTCCTTTCTCCAGTTTTCCAGCAATTTTCTTTGGTAAACACGTTTTTTGTTTTCCGTTTACCAGTTTTCCAATTTTCTGGAAAACTGGAAAATATCTCTGTTAGTAAACAGGCCCTAAATTTTTCAAACTTTGAAAAGGTGTGAGGTAAGTGCCCCAAACTTGCACATGTAATATACCCCATCTTTATATAAAAAGTTATGTTATCACCATGACCATATGTCTTTTTACAAATGTAATTTAAAACACACAAATCAGTTATGAGAATGCAATTAAAATTAGATTGTACAGGATTAATCTTATTAGTTTCACAAAAGTTGATGTTTCCCGTTTCTCATTTCCTCATGATTTTGATTATAGGAGGTTTTCAAATGTTTTCTTGGGTAAACCTATATACTACGAAAATCTAGCTTCTTCTCATAAATAGTAAACCTAGCAAACAAGCTAAGGTGAATTTAAAATTAAACTTAGAAGAACCTTTGCTAGTGAGGTCAGCAATAAAAATTGAATAGCAATTTTATACGTATTTTTCTTACGATCCCTCTATGAAATCATCAAGCATATGTGAGATATGCACCTTAGTTCTTTATTTGAATTTGTTTCAATCAATAAACAATATATTTTTGCAACTTTGATAACAGAGACACGCTACCTATTCATAGGAGATGAACGTTTGGGTGAATTCTGTAAACCTAGATACTACGAAAATCTAGCTTCTTCTCATAAATAGTAAACCTAGCAAACAAGCTAAGGTGAATTTAAAATTAAACTTAGAAGAACCTTTGCTAGTAAGGTCAGCAATAAAAATTGAATAGCAATTTTATACGTATTTTTCTTACGATCCCTAGATGAAATCATCAAGCATATGTGAGATATGCACCTTAGTTCTTTATTTGAATTTGTTTCAATCAATAAACAATATATTTTTGCAACTTTGATAACAGAGACACGCTACCTATTCATAGGAGATGAATGTTTGGGTGAATTTTCCGAATCAGGGTGCTGCCCGGAGACCTTATCTCGAGCTACTTTTAATATGTCCAGCTGCAAAAGAAAACAAAACAAATAGAGCATTTGTATAATCATATATGCAACGCAAATAACAATGCAGGGAGAAGAAACAAAACAAAAGCAAATGCAAAGAATTTCACCTTTCGTTCAGCAATGAAGTTGTACAATGGGCTCTGATAAAAGGATGCGGGAGGCATCAATACATGAAGTAGAAAAAAGCTATTAAAACTACAACATTATTAACATGATAAGAGGATCACAAAGTGAAGCAATAATACATATATAAAGTAGGAATTCAAAGAACACACCTTGGGTGTGCTGTTAAAATCTCCACAAATTACAACCGGAGCACCATTCCAAAGTTTTGAAAAATGATCAGCCTTATCAAGAAGCAGTCTCATCTATTTACAGCAAAAATAAGTTGATTAAAAAAATCATCAGTATGATGACAAGGCACTTTTTGCTTTATCATAATGCTACTATAAAACTTCAAATGAAAGCATCCAAGTATAGTGATCACATATATGGTGTGTAAGGTACAGAATAAAAAAGAAGGAATGAAAACTGAAATAGTTTTTATTTTGAATTAGGGTGCATTATGCTCCACATAAAAGACATGATAGAAGGTCCACATCTGTTAATTCAGAGAAGCGAACATACATAATATGTTTGTCTCACTGTTTGTATATGGGTACATAATAGAAAACAGACAAAAAGCAGTCAAAAGGATCCACAATAATGAAATGGCTATGAACTTTCCTCCAAAACCCAAGGAAAAAGGCAGGGAAACGAAGGTTGTTGGGAAATAAAGTATGATATGATGCCATAATAGTTAATAAAGCTAGCATATGAAAAGAGAGAAATCTAAAAGAGCATGCGTTTTAAAAATATATACATGCTTCCTCATCATACTTGGAACCAAACAGACACTACAGTAGAACGAGTGCTCTCTCTTTCAAAAGGTTGAATCCCCAACCCCAAGGGCCCCCCACACCCCGACCCAACAAGGCATTTGGGAGGTTGTAAGTCACGGTGACTCAGTCAACCCAATGGTGGTCGGTGGAAGACCTTGTACCCGTGCTCACTAGAGGTCCATTCCAGCACGCAAGAGTTGTAACCTACACACGGCCGCTACGGATTTCGATCCTTGGTCACTCTTCCAACTTTCCCACCACTCAACCAACTGAGCTACCCATGCCGGTGTAGAACGAGTGCTCTTATGTAGATGACTAGAGATCAAAACCATGGTGCGGTCAAATGCTTGAAGGGTCCTTTAATTCCTTATCATATTATCCTACCAATTAGGTTGCATTTGTCCTAGTGCAATCAATCATGTCCTTTAAGAGGCACACCCACACAAGGCAACAAGAATATCCATATTGTGTCCAAGTATAATATGATATGGCATGACATGCTTACAAGACTGATGTCGGCAACTTAGTAAAGCCCAATGTTACTCAAGAATACCTGTCCAAGCTTCATCTCACCCCTTCGAGGATTGAAAAGCACGTGAATATTACAAACCACAACTTTATTAGCAGTTGATGAGCTGCAATACAGTTGAAACAAAATTACTTGAAGTATCCCTAACATATTAAGAACCTTAGTACTTAAAGTCATAATTCATCTTTGCAGAAATTGGTGTCATCCCAACAAATGCCCAGTATATTTGGTGAGAACATGAGTTAACAGTTATGACCCACATACATTTAGAGTTGATTACCATATATACCAGCTTGGGCGAATGGGCGATGGATGGAGATGTTCCATGATGATATTATATAAAAATATTATCAATATCATAATGGAATATGTCTATGACAATAATCTCAACTCTATAATATTCTCCATGCAAGTAGAAAATATTTATGATGAGTTTTTGAGTTTCAACTAATAATTGCTTTGTAAGGTGGACCATCGCGGAATCTAGAATTAATTTATAGTTTATAGTTCTAAATAGAGGTGGGAGTAGCATCTATTGAAGATAAGATGCGAGAGTCTCGATGTGGTGGTTTGGTCATGTGCATAGAAAACTGAGTGATGCACCCGTTAAACGAGTCAAGAAGTGTGGAGAAGAAGGCGGGGAGGAGAGGAAGAGGAAGACCCAAACAAACGTGGATTAGAAGAGTCAGGAGTGATATGTAGCTTCTTGGGTAGGATGAGGGTATGGCTTTGGAGAGAGCAAAGTGGAAGGCGGGCGGGTATTCGTGTTGCAAATTGATCACTTATCATCTTTTTCCCCTTTATCTTCTTTTTCTTTCTCATGTTTTTTATCATTTTTATTTTATATATATATATATATATATATAGAAAAGATCAGGTCCCTCCGGAGGGATGGGAGGGACCGTCCGGCCAAGGCCATCAGAGGCCCTTCCCGGTAGAATTTTTTGATCAAATTTTTTGAGCATGTTCCTTATCAAGTCTAGTTTATCCATACCAAATTTCAGCTAAAAATTCAACCGGGAAGGCACTCAAATGATTTTTGGAAGATAACTGCGTTTTATATGTATATAAACTGCGCAGGTAACTTCCAAAAATCATTTGACTGCCTTCCCGGTTGAATTTTTAGCTGAAATTTGGTATGGATAAACTAGACTTCATGAAGAACATGCTCAAAAAATTTCAGCAAAAAATTCCAACGGGAAGGGCCCCAAATGGCGACGGCCGGACGGCGGGTCCTGTCCCTCCGGCTGGACAGGATCAGGCCTCTCTCTCTCTCTCTCTCTATATATATATATATATATTCTTTTTATCCTTTTTATCTTATCATTTTATGTGTATCTTATCTATATTATATATTATCTTTTTTATCCTTTTTATCATATCTTATGTTTTTAACTTTCTTTTCATTTTGGCTCCGATATCATGTATTGTTTCATGATAGCTGACCCCAAAATCTTTTGGGATTAAGGCTTGGATGTTGTTGTATGGTTCTAAATAGAGGTAGGCAAAAATACCGAAAAAATATGGTACCGGACCAAACCCTAATGGTATTGAATCGATTAACGTGGTCTAAAATGAGATGTTCTTTTATCGTGCCAAACTGATCTCATAAAGGACAGTGCTGGTTTACACTTTTAAAATGCAGTTACCTCAAACCTAACCATTTGAACATATATATTTTTATAAATTTATAATCAAACTATTTTCAATTTTCTTTTTTATTTATTATTTATTATCTCTCTTGTCTAACTAGCTACTAAAAATACAAAATTAAATACACATACTAGACATATACTAATAATGAAGTACATACATAATTTATAACTTAGTTTATTTGTGTGTAATTTTGAGCCCGTTTGGTAGCCCAGTTTTTTGGCTTACAGTCTTATCAGCCAACATTTTCACCAAAGACGTAAATTTTTTATTTCGCATGCTGAATTGTGTAATAATAAGAAAAAGTAAGGTTGAAGTTACTTTTCTAGCTGTATTGGCTGAAGTTACTGTAGAGGACCATTTTATCTATTTTTACATATAATTAATTCTTTATTTTATTAGTAAAATACATTTTAAATATAACTTTTTAATAAATCAGCAGAATCGGCTAATGCAACCACTTCAGCCGGAATTTCTTAAATTTCAGCCGATTCAGCCGATTTTGGCATTACGAAACGGGCTCTTAGAAAGTAGAGTTGAATTTTTTTTAGTAATTTTTCATTTTTTTAATTGTTAGACTTAAGAAAAATTATGTTTTCTCATTCTAATCTATTGATATTTATTATAAATGCATTTGTAAAAGTCTCTTTTGATGTCTAGGTTTTTTGGAAGGTTTTGGAACAGATGGAGTAGTGGGACTGCCCCATTTAAAAACAAGACGGTACTAAATGTTTTAAGCGTGTCTCATGTACTGATACATGTACCGTTTCAAACTACATTGTCCCTGATAAATTCCAATAGTATCACTGACTATGCCCACCCCTAGTGCAAACTAATTCTAGAGATATACCACACTATAAATTCCATGTCATCAACCCCAACATAGTTGTGAAATTGGGATTAAGTTGTGGTGGCGGCAAATGGTGGTGATAAAATATAAAAAGTTACTTTGAAAGTATGCATAATTCTAAAAATTACAATTGGGATCCCAGATTTGTACAAAAGTTCTACAATGAAGTTTAGACAGAACACTTTGAAACTATAAAAGGTAGTCATATATTTTGCAATAAGAAACAAAAATGAGTACCGTATAGCGGAAGCTTCACTACTGTCGCCTTTATTTTGATCCAACAACTGTCAAAGATTAGAATACAGTACAGGTTGACAATTTAATGCTTAGAATTATATGAAACGGGTGGACTAACACTTTGGGATTTTATACCTCAAATACACATATCTGGGCAACATTATCACGAAGACCATGCTTTCTGAATTCAATGGAATCTTCCTGAAGCAACTTCAATCTGTTAGAAAATTAATTCAATTAAGAGTATATTATGTTACCATCAAAGGTTCCATACTTCGGAATATAGTAACTGGTTCTGCAATGATGATATCCAAATAGAATTGTCTTTGTCTCATAAAATTCATAGAGCAATGGATGCTCAAACATGCAGAGATCACTATCTTCAGTTAAAAATGAGCTACTAGGAAAATTAAACAAAACAAAGTGCAAATAAAGCTTGTCAACAACTTCATTTACTAACCGTAGTATATTAAGCAAACAAAAACTATGGCAGAACACAGGTAAGGAAAAAACAAAGAAACAAGGTAAACAGGGGACACAACATTGTGTTACACTAGTAAGAGAAGTTATTTAGAATCAGGGCAGTAACTTTGTGGCAAACCAAATCTATGCCTTCCCGATGAGTCTACACAATACATGCAGGTTCGTAACTACAAAACTATGTTGCTACTTAATTCACGAGCACAGCAAAGAAAGTTGCATGCATTGTCAATTGTTATCGGCAAAATAACATTATATCATAAGAGTATTCAGGATTTCATTTTAGTGTTGGACATGTAGAGTACCTAGAATCACGCCAAAATATTGCACACCCATCCACTGCATCACCAGTTCGCATCTAAAATCAATAATTAAGAAATGATTAGTCCACATCAACTGTAATTTGTTTCTCAAAATATGCACTATATATTGAGCTTCCTTGCTGCAATAGAGTTTCAGATCTTTAAAACTATATTTTTTGTTTACTTGTGTGCTTTAAGGCTTCATCAAAGGAAACAAGAAGATGCCTTACCTAAATTAACGAATGTACAACAAAAACGCTACAATATTTAAACAAAACAATGATGGTAAAGAATTTGGGTATCAAGATTTCAATAGATAAGAAATCACATGTGTGATGGGTACCCTAACAGACACTATTATGGTGTTCCAGTGTGTCAGTATGCAAAGGAGATTTGTTCAATAATATGTTTCCCTGCTAAACTAGGATATTTTGACAATATAGTTATTTAGGCAGAAACAAAAAGAAGATATTATGGGTCTAATGCATTCTCCTCAAGTGTGTATGGTGTCCTTTTCTGTAAGAATTGTGCATTGTTTCTACGATCAAAATGGTAATTTTGAGAGTTCACATTTGTATTGGCATCAAGAACTAAGACAAATTACTTGTATTACTTTTTTACAGGTAATGCGAGTTACACGAGATACATATCACATTCCTTGGAGGATGAAAATCAGGCTCTTAAACCTCAACTTTTTCTGGACATTTTTAATTTGATTTTGCCCCCTAGTCACAGCCAACAGCAAGCATAGCATTTCCCCTTATCGGAACAAATTTATTTATTTATTTGTTATTGTTGTTATTATTGATGTTGTTGTTACTATCATCATCATCATGTATAAATAATGTAAGGATCATGACCCCAACACCTTCCATATGCCACTGTATCCTTGAAACTGCAATTCAGCCTCCATTTCTTGAAATCTATCGACCTCCTGATATATTTTCCGAATAGCACAAGAATCAAATGAAATATCAGGTTTAAAGCAATAGTCAACAGAATATTTAAAGAGCATAAAATATGGGACAAACCATCAAACATGTGGAAGACCTTACATCCTCCTAACGATTGTCTTTATTTCTTTTCAAACTTTTGGGTTTGGAAGGGTAGTTTAAATCAAATCTTAGCTTCGTTTTCACCTGGGACCGGACTTCCCAGAAAACATTATGCAAAAAGAAAACATTTTCCTCATTTCTTTTGTAACATGTAATTCTGTGTAATATGACTTCTCTTTTAAAGCTATACATTGAACGAACCACTTTTATATTTTCTAATATTTTTGTAACAACTAAAAATTCATACTTTTTGAAAATTAATTTTCAAAATAAAAAACCACTAATACATATGAACAAATTCCCACGCTATAAAAACACAATGAATGACAATGACTGAACAAGGACGGCCACATGAAGTACAAAACGTTTCAGTATAATTTTAACTAAATAGAAAACAACTCTTTATTGTAGTCCCTTAATCCCATTTTAAGGTTACTTTCCTTTTAGTCCATCCCAAAAAAGTTCACTTTCGTATTTAACCCTACTAAGTTTTCTACTTTCCAAATTCATTCATGTATCATCTCACCTTTTCAATTGATGGGCCTCATCTTTCTTTTCTTCTTTTTCAGAAAGGTAAAATTGTTGGGGGGGAAATAGCATCTCTTATATGCTCAAAAAAAGTGTGCTAAACCCAAATATTTCCTACATTGTGAAATAGAGAGTAATTAGTAATAGGTAACGCCACCTGAGGTTTCCCGTCTAGTTTACATGTTATTATGTGTCTGTATGTACATAATGCATTACATTCGCCTTGATGTTTAAGGTAAGCTCATGATACTATCACCACCGAAGGACTCATATCAAGAAAATGCACTTTCTTTTTTTAATAAAGTAGAAATTTAAAGATCTATTAAAAGGTGGTTGAAGTATTATTTACTCTCCCATTTCAATAAAGGCCTCTTCCATTCTATTGCAACCAAATGAGGACACCATGTGGAAACTTTTCCTACTTTTTTGTTGGGATATAAATATATGATGGTTCACATGAGGTATACAATAGTAAGTACCAGGTCCCGAACCTGTAAACACAGTACATCGGCTGACCATAGTCCAAGTTCAAAAACAAGACTTCTCTTGCGTGACTCCCACTCCAGAATATGCAGAGGTAAGTGACCATAAAGTTTCGCCCGATGGTTGGTCGCGAGGTAATTAGCTAGAATATTATATGATAGTACAGTGAACCGTTCTGCAAGAGAAGTTGTAAATTTTACCATTTAGGAATGATCATAGTTATGCAAATGCTTTCAGCAATGAAATTCACAAAACCCATTTGATACTGAACAGATTCGAGCAACAGCCTAATCAAATAAAGTCCCAGAGATCTGTCAACCAATTTGATAAATTTTTAGTTTTACGAATCTTAAAGGAATAATATATACCCATCCATCCCAATAAGATGTTCTTTAAGCGAACTTCTTTTGTCCCAATATAATTACAGTTTTGGAAAATCAATGCATATTTTATGCTACTACCTCAAAATTGCTTATATTAATTCTTCTTATATTACAGCTTGATCTTTCTAGTGAAACACAAAAAAGCTTGACTTTTTTAGTGAAAGGGTCTTTTCTAACATTTACCACAAAAAATCACAAAGCCAGTGCATCTCATGTTCGAAAATCGAAATAAACACTTTGAGCAGAGAAGAATCAAAACAAGTTACCGCAGTGAGGAGGAGGTGCAGTTTTAGCATACTCCCAGTACCGGAAATTCAGAGCCTTGGGAGGTGGAGCACGTGGACCGGTCTGGTTCAGCTGTGATGCTGGTCTAAACTGCTGACCATTAAAGTGTTGATTGGAGTTCAAATTCGGAGGTGGGTGATGGTCGGAATAGTAAGGATGACTCTGTGGATTCTTGACAGATTGCTGCCGGAAAGTCAAATTTTTTCGACGCCCTCGAGAAGTGTCTTCTACTGTCCTGATATTGGAGTCCAGGGATCTTTGCTGGGCGGAGCAGAAAGCTTTGGAATCGGAACCCAATTGAGAAAGAGAGTACATGTATGAAACGGATGCGGCGGCGGGGCGGTAGAAGGGAGGAGATGGCTTCATATGAGCTCGACCCAAAGCCCTTCTCTTGAACTCATTCCTCAAGGGTGTCATATCCGAGGAATTGACGAAAAAACATTATACTTCCCGGGCCCTGCGGTCCTACCTAACTTAACCAACTTTTCTTGTTTAGGATGTTTTTCTCTAGGACTCGAATTTTATGATTTGATTTGATTTGTTTTATTAAAGTTTGATTTGTTCTAATCTTTGTGATTTGTTGTAAATATTTGTTCTATATATGTTTTAGGATAGTTGCAGTCTGATACGGAGAATAATTTAATCTATTTAAATGCCATTGGATAGAAATAAGACAATTAAAAACACTTTAACTACCCCAAAAAAATTACAGCTACGGTATCAATGATGTCATTAGAAAATCTTTTTTGAGATTGATGTAGAATATCTTGCTGCTTATGTTCGTGCACAAAATTGTCTTGTTGAATCTTGAATTAAACAATCACAATTAATGGCTAGGTCATTGTGCTATTAATGAAGTGTCAATTAGTTTCATCTGTTCGGGGATGTATGTTGATATTGTGTTCAGCAAATTTAGTCCCGCTTAACCCAATTGCGAATCATAAATATTCTCCAACGCAATTAGTAACAGAGTAAGAGCCAAAATTTAGCACATGAAATTATATTTCGTTGTGTTGTATATGTTCCAAGATTTTGTGTGTGTGTTGGTTTGAGTCTCACTCAATTATAGAATATCTCGAGTCAAGTATTGATGATTTATTTACCACGGAATTTGTGAATTGTCGTTTCAATGAGAGTATGAGACAATATATCCAACCCTAGTAGGAGAAAATAATAGTAGTATAATTAAAAAAAATAAGTACTAAATTATTTTTTTATTTTTACCTATGAAATATAATGTTATAAGAAAGATAATAAAAAGTTATGGATTTTGATATATTTTTTTAAAAAATGTTATAGCACATTAAAAATTTGAAGTTTTCTAAAGTGTTAAATTATTTTTTAATATTTATGCAATATTGGTGTCATATGAGAGATAGTAAGAAGTTATGAATTTTGATATCTTTTTATAAGAATAGGAGAACAAATAAAAAAGGTATAATAGATTTTAATAATGTTTTTTTTTTATTTTGTCCGGTCCTACGATTGCCTCCTCTCCTTTTTGTGTTTCTCTTGTTTGTATAGCATGCTTCCTATCTTCACATAAGTCGTCAATTGGATTGGCCATGATTGCTCATTAGATTTTGGGGAATATTTTTAACTCCAACACAAATATTATGGGAAAAACTCGTATAAAAGAAAGTACATCGAATGCAACATGATTGTCTCTCATCTAGATTCAATCATATACAAAATGGTGTAAATCGGTTGCATGATACATTCATTCATGAAGACATTGACAGTGTCACATAATTATGCTATGAGTACTCTTGCTAGTATCCAAATCCCTACATAAACTCTTGATTCTTCTATACACAAGAAGGTGTGGACCGTGTGGTAGACCACTTGATTCAAAATATATAAACCCAAAAAGATTAAAAAATATGAAATGGTTTATGATGCTAAAGATGTTCAAATTTTTTAACAAGAAAATGAATAAACTGAAAATAATGACATTTAAAAGGATATCAACCAAATAAAGATCTCAAAAGAATGTTCAGCTTTCTCAAATGAAGAAGATATTCTAGATAACAATATAAATGGTGGTGTTTATGAAATCTCAATAAGCTGCATTTCTACTGAAATGTATGTAATACAATTGATAAGATGTTAATATACTAATGAGATACGTGTCTCTATCATGATCGCAAATATCATGAATAAAAACAATGACATTGAGGCAACATCGGTTGATGAACGTAGGCAAAGACACAACTAGCCAAAATGAAATGTAGCAATTGAGACTTAATTAAAATTGTTTGAAAAGGCAATGCTTTTGGGACTGATAGTCCCTATGCCAAGGGTTTTAAACCAATGGATTTGTATGGGTCTTTGTGCGCAAGCCCAATGAGAAAATGAAATCATAAAATATAATGTCCAACTTGTTGCCAAAATTTTTTTAATTGTGAAAAAATATTATGATGAGCCTTATTTTTTAGTATTTTATATAACTACGTTGAGATTTCTAGTTGACATGTTTTTCAAATTTTACAAATGCGTCTAATGAAGGTAGTGATGTCTTATTTATATGGATCTCTCCATAAAACATTCATATCAAAATTCATAGGGAACTTATAATGTTAGATGCTTATAGCTTGAAATTTCCATATTTGTTTTCCATTAAATTACAATAGTTGTTATATGGAATTAAAGAATCTCGATGAATGTGGTATAAATCGTCTCAAAGAATATCCACTTAAAGAAAAATACAAAAATAATCGTGTTGAGTTTAATCCAACACGATATAGTAAATATATGTATGAACACTCAGTTTTTACGTGGAAACCCGAAATGGAGAAAACCACGGGACTTTTTAGGCTAATGTCCAAGCCCTCTCATTCTCATTAGTCTCTCCTCACCATTACATAGTACAAGTATTGAAGCTCCCATTAATGGAGTTCTAAGCTATTCTAGTGAGAAGGAGGAAGAAGAAAAGGATCCCTAACATGTGGGAAAGCCCCATATTTATAGGGGAAAGGGAGTAGGGAATAAGTCTACCCTAATGGGCCAAGTAAGCCCAAAATGGGCCCAAAGGGCCGAAACATGCCTAATAGGCTAAAATGGACCTTGTCATTCGGGCTCCAAGCTGGGGCGATGCCTTGGGCTCCTGAACAGTAACGGACCGGGGTAATATACCTCAACAAATCAGATATATCCATGTGCTTTCATTCAGCGGTCACAATAAGGATTTGTCATAATAGTAGTATATGATGATGATTTAAACATCATTGAAACTCCCAATGAAATTAAAAATACTGCAAATTGTCCAATGAAAAATTTTGAAATAAAAACTCTAAGGAGAAAAAATCGTGTCTCATACTTCAAATTAATTAATAATTAAAAAAGAAATTTTCCCTCCATCAATCAAATTACACAAACAAAGTTTTGAAGAGACTCTATATGAATAAAGCGCATCCCCTAGTTAACTTTCCTCGTTTATTAAGTCAATAATACTATATCAAGTATTGTTTTTTTGTAAACGTATTGGGCAGATACACTTTCTTATCTAACATCTCATTATTGGAACGAAATCAAATACGGGGTACATAATTCGCTCTCTGTGGTAAAATTGATCTCGGCATACTCTATCACAAAGACTTAAAAGCCACATTAGTAGGATATGCATATTTTGGGTACATGTTTACCTATGACACACTGAAATTTCATGAAGATTACTGAAACAATCATTGAATAATACATCATCAAATCATGTTGAGCTGATTGTGTTATATGATATTTAAAGAGAGCATGGGTGGTTGTGATCTATGATTCGACACATCCAAAATGCAGTTATTTGTCATCCCACTTTTGTCTATGAAAATAATATTGGATGTATATACCGATCTAGCGAAAGAAGGAAAGATAAATGTTTTGCAAATCAAATAATCTAATGAAATTCCCAATGTACTTTTCACAAAATCATTGTCACCCAATAAGTTTGTATATGTTGTACAGAAACATGGCATGTGTCACCTTCGAGATGTATGCTAAGATTTGGGTATTGTATATGTAAATACAATGGGATTAAAAGTTGTCATTTTCGCCCTCTATTGTGTTTTTCTCACCGGATTTCTCATAGTAAGGATTTTAATGATGCATCAAATAGTAATGGAAAATTTTAGCTATGAACATTCAAGGGGGCTGTAAAATTAATAGCTTGACAAGTGTGAGTTGATTTTTCTGGTAATCTTTGACATTTATTGAGTTCTCTTTAGTTTTACCTTTGACATTAAATATGGTAGATTCATGATTCATTCCTCGGATGATTCATCATTCATTAGCAAGATCGGCAACTATAAATAAATGTTTGATAAAGTTCTATCGTCACAAAATTCCATTCAATTCAAGGAGTAGGAGAATCTATTTAGAGAGTTTTATATATCATATTTATTATATACAATATTATAATACATATAATAATCACGACTACATATTTCTCTGATATGAGTTTTATAAAATATTTCTCTGATATGAATTTTCACTTCCAAAAGACTCTTTGGTATAATCCTACCGTACTTGTCCGGTACTATATGGTATTGCACTCTTAATATAACTTGAGGTAGTGAAATAAGTTAATTTTTTTTTTAATCAAATCAGAAAATATGATTTTGTTTAGGGACCTCCGATGAAGAAATGTATGATAAAGATTTAAATACTATTATGTAGAATGTTTTCACTTTGTACCAATTTTTTTTTTAGATAACATGTAAGTATATTAGAAAAACCGTCAATAGTTCGTCTGTACAACAAAAGAATATGAGCAAAAATGTAGGCTATCCAAAGATTGGATAACCCATCACCTGCCAAAATAAGGGTGCCATGGCAGCCCCCCCTATACTACCTCACGGCCTATCACAAACAAAAATAGGTGATGGACGGAAAGTTATCAAAGTACTACCAAATCATAAGGATAGATGCAATACAGAATTTTATAGACAACATATTGTATCCTGGCAAAAACTTCCTCCTCCTTTGGCAAAAAATCATCAAATCGAGCTGCATTCCTGACTCTCCAAAGCGAGTATATGGTGCACGAGAAAGCAATCCTGGCAGCCTTGGCTCGTACACTAGCTCCACTCCTTTCCTTCTTGATCCATTTGACCGCACTAGCTAGGGTCCCCATCATTCGTGGAATGCCAATCCATGCTTTCATCATAGCCCAAACTTTTCCTGAAAAAGGGCATTCAAAGTAGAGGTGTGGAACCGTTTCCGGTCCACCCTTGCACAATACACAAGTATTATCCACATCTAATCTATGAAGATTATCACACGTGGCTAATCTGTTACGGAATGCCAACCAAGTAACAAAGGAAAACTTGGGAGGGATGTAATCTTTCCAAATAAACGGCATCCACACTCGGGTGGCAGCCCTAGGCCTAAGCAAATCATAAACCTTGGAGGATACAAGCTTACCATTCATTTGAAAAGCATTTAAGCCAAGTATAGCACTCGGGATGTCCTGGAATTTGGAGAGTATTTC